TTGTCCCAATTGCAAGTTTTTTTTTTTTTTTAAAAAAAGGCGGTGGGTGGAAGGAAAGGAAGAGGCAACCCACTGAGCCCACCCTCTCACCCTGGGGGAGCTTCGCTTGCAATCCGCCTGCCTGCCCGCCCACCTTCCCACCTGGAGGTCAGAAGCCACGCAGGCTGATGCCCTCTCACCTGGCAGGTGCACTCGAGACAAGACTCCGGCTTAAAGGCTTGCCCGTGGGCGTAGCGTTCCCCTTCGAAGAAGCAGTCGTGGCAGAGCGGGCAACACTGGCCGGGCCCCGGAGCCGGGTGGGAGCAGAGCGTGGCTTGGCAGGGCAGGGGCTCACACGAGACCTCCCCGTCCTGCCAAGAGAGGGAGGGAGGGGCTGTGTGGGCGGGTGGAGGTGGGGGGGGGACGGCTGGATGGGTTGGGACCCATCCATCCCAGGCACTCGTGTCTCATCCTGTAGGGTAAGCAACAACCCCAGTTTCAAAGTCGCTTTCCCAGTTCTGTGCCATCTGCCCCATAAGGAGGCCTGGAGAGAGAAGCCATGCGGCTAAGCGCACTGAATTCTGCGCCCCTCGAGGGAGAAACCGCTCATCCTTCATTCCACGGACCTCTCCCCCCCGTGGGCAAGACCCGCGTCACCCCGGCTCACTTCCTACCTGGGCACTGCGAGCAGCACTGGCCAGGTCTGCGGCTGGGACTGGCACAGGGCGCCCGGGGGCAAACGACCGGGGTGCAGAGCACATTGCCACGCAGGCAGGTGCAGTGGCTGCAAGGGTCGGCGGGCGAGGTGAAGGCCTGGCGGTTGGCGTAGCGCTGGCTCCTGAAGAGGCAGCCCTCGCAGGAGGGGCAGCAAGCCGGAGGCGTGGGGGGCAGCGGGTGGGTGCATTGCACAGGGCAGGGTTTCGGTTGGCATGTCACCACTTCGGCCTGGAGAGGACAGAAGGAAAGGTCCCGGAATCACAGACTAAATCCGAGTTGGAAAGGGTCCCCCAAAGGCCATCCAGTCCAACCCCCTGCTCAAGGCAGGGATCCAAGTCAAAGGAGATCGGATAGAGGGGTGGCCCCATGATCTCCCGAACGCCTCCAGCGTTGTTCCCCACTTCCCGAGGCCATTACTGTAGTTCCAATGTCGTACTGCTCTAACAGTTAGGAAGTTTTTCCTGATCTTCATCCGAAAGTAAGAATCCTAGAATCGTAGAATAACTGCGTTGGAAGGAGCGAGTAAAGGAACACAGGAAGGCTTCCATGGAAAGGCGGGGTTCCAACCAATACAGGGGGGTTCTGGGGGCCGGGTTTCTGTGCTAAACTCACATGCACACGCAGGAACATACACATCCACTACAAACCAAGCCAGATCTCTTTCCGGGCCACGATGACAGCATGCCATTCACACCAGAAATGCGGTGGAAATGAACACTATGGTCTCAACGGACTTTGGCGGGTCTGAAAGACATCCACCAGCCCCGGACGTCCTGGGGACAGACTTCTCTTAAGAGCTGCCTCTGCAGCAGGAGTGGCTAACAGGTCCCATGCACCATCTATAGCCCACCTGCCGGTTTCTGCAACACCCGCTACTGAATGTGGGTGACACATTGGTGGCAAACGTTCCAGTAAAATACAGGGTCTGTGTTTCATCTTCGAATGCCTGATACATAGCATGGTATCTGGCTCCCTCTAGTGGCTATTCTGGTAACTTCATCATTGGAAATATATATTTCCAGTAAAAACAAAATTTTAAAAAAGCACTGTATTTTTCTGTGCATAAGACCCCCCCCACTTTTCTAACCAAAATTTTCTTTCTTAACAAGAACGTGGAGGGGCAAGGCTGGGATCAAAGCACTTTGAT